AACAAAAAACAGGTGCTTCTGAGGATGGGCTATTTTTCATATTTAGTTGATTTTTTTTTACATGGAATCATCCAGGAGCTCACCTGAGAGGCTGTCACTTCTTCTGGTTCTGTTTTCACTCTGCTGCTGCCACCAGCACTGTCCTGATGAAGAAAGATGCACAAACTTCTTAAGTGGGTTAATGCAAGTGACAAATATCAAGGTAATAAATGACAAAGCAATACATACTCTGCCTAATAATCCTGTAATGTGTTTGTTGTTACAGAAGAGCATAAGGTGTTACAAGTGTTTTGTTTGATAGAGGAATGTAATGGGTGCAATGTAGACTTTTTCAAATTGCAGTGATAAATACTAGTCCCTAGTGTAGGGACACATTTCTATCCTCACCAGACATCAACAATTTAGCTTTCTCTATGACTCTTTAGGAATATTCTGACAGTCTGCTCTGCTCTTGCCTCAGCTGACAGCAGCCAGCGTGGATGATGATGATGATGTGGCTCGGGGTTCCCAAATGCTCCTCTGACAGAAGTTCGATGGCTTTTTGAGTGTTTGGGCAATCAGGTTTAACCACTTTGTGATTGAGGAAGAGTTTCCTCTCATTTATGAATTTTCCATTGGAGTCAATGAGGATCGCATTCTGGACACGTTGTTCTGGTTGTGAGGGGTCCTGGTTTTGCATTCTGTGTGAACTTAAGAGCTGATGTGTCAACTGCTGGGTGTCTGTGTCTTGTCTGCTGACCTGTTCCTGTAAAGCTTGTTGTTCTTGGCTTGAATCTTCCTCCAGGGCCTGGTCAGTGTTGTTGCTAACAGTAGTGGGAGCTCTGTCTTCACCGCTCTTATAAACCATATACAGCAGCATCATTAATATAACATTCAAACTGATCATTATGAATTATATGCACTATGACACACAAAACACACACCATATATGTGTACAAGGCTGTAGAAAGAAAGGATTGCTGCAGCACCCCCTGGTGGATTGCAGAAGAGTAGAATGCCCGCAACTACTAAAGGAAAAACTAAAGGGACTAAAGGAAACTATAAAGGAATGAATATGGAAAACAATTTAGTTTTTCTTATCTTCCATATTCTTCTATATAAATTATTTAGTTAGGTCAGGTATAGTTTGTCTTTTGTCCTGTCTCTCTGCTCTCTTTTCTTCCATCGTCCACAACCAGTGGCAGAGATGGCTGCCCCTCCATAAGCCAATTTCTGGAGTTTAATAATTTAATAGGATCTGTCATCGAGTGCTTATTCTTAGGGCATTTGTTGTGATTTGGCTCTATATAAATAAAACTTGAATTTAATTGTTAATTTATGGAAATATAAGATCATAAGATTAATTTATTATTTATAGTCAGGGCTGCACATAAATGGTCCGCAGGTGCGCATTCGCCATCAAAATAAAAGAGGCGCACCAGATAAGAAGTTGGAACGCGCGTTTGCGAGGTTCTGGAGGAGGACAGACATTTGTTCAGAACTCTTAAAGATGTCGAAGAAGCAAGCTCCATAAGCAATTACTTTGGTGTTCCTCCATCGAAAAAGAAGCGTGCATTCCCGGAAATTCTGAGAATACCCGCTTCTTTTGCGCGTATTCCGAGAAAAGATGAAAACAATTTTTTCTTCTCTGTCCCTGAACTGCAATTTGAGCGGAAACTGCTGGGCAAACAGTTTGGCTGTATTTGCCATCATACAAGGGTTTTGCCAAAGACTGGGAAATGGTCTACCTTTGAGTTTGAGATCTGTGGACTCAGTTGTCCACTCTTTTAAGAAACAACTAAAAACTCATCTTTTTAGACTTTCAGAAAACACTTTTCTTTATGGTGCTGTGGGGAGATTAGCACTTTGTTATTACTGTATTAAAGGTGCTACATAAATAAAATTTACTTATTTTAATGCACAACCACTTTTTGTTTCAGCTTCATCATACGAAACTACTAATACATGATTTAGTATATACAGCTACTTACCGCCATCTTGATACTTTTCTCTTTTCTGATTGTTTTCTGAAAGGGAATAATCATCTAATGAGGATATCTGGGATACTAAAATATTAACACAACACATTTCAAAGTAAAAAACAATCTCATTCTCATTCTCTTCATAATTACACTGAATCACTTCCTTTCTAATCAAATTTCCTCCCTTTAGGTAACACATGTACAGATTGGTCTTTGGCAGGTTATTACCTTCATACTTTTTACAAGACTGTGGAGCTCTTGTAAAAAGTTTTTTAGTCATCTCCATTTTAGTGGACCTCTTTGCTAAACACAGCAATAGAATATTTATTTGCAGATGGAAGAAAATCTAACTTCAATGAATGAGGGCTGTTATGTTGGTTTTATTAACTTTTTAACAGCAAATAGTTTTGAGTATTATAACAATGCAAGCTCACTTTGCCTTCCTGAAATAGACAGATATGTAATAGCAGAGAATAAGGTTCAACAAGGAATGGGAAGGACAGCTACAGGCAGAAGATGGAGAACTGGCTTCAGCAAAACAACGTTGGCGAAGTCTGGAGAGGCCTTAGTACCATCTTGGGCCACAAACATCAGAACTCTCTGCCCAGGAGGGATGTGATGTGGGCAAATGAACTGAATCATTTCTTCAAGAGATTTGATTCATCCATGAGGCAGTCTCCAACATCGGCTGCAGACTTACCCGCCCCCACTGTTGCTGTTCCACCTCTGACACCTCAGCCACTTCACACCTCTTGATTTTTCAGTCATGCGACCGTTTTGGTGATCGGCCCGATTTTGGCCTTCATCGTGTGTCGTGCATCGTGTAGTATACATGGGTTAATGAGAAGCGATTAACACCTCACGACCAGCTCCCAATCATCAATCGCTTGGCCGGGAGAATTTCCTCATCATGACCGTCGTAAGGGTGTCACCGCAGCTGCTCACACTGCGCACGCGCAAACACATAAATGTCGGTGAAAAAGACGGCGGTTGTACGGCAGCGCAGCGTGTGATTTGGACACAAGCGATGGAGGCACAACTTGTAGAACTTTGGAAAGCTCATCCGAGCCTTTTCGATGTGGCATCACCAAATTATCACGACCACAGCAACCGTGAAAATAGTTGGACCTACACTGCTGCTCAATCACAGCTGCCTGATCAATGTTTTTCATTAGCAATTTAGCAAAGTTGATGGTGGTGGTGTGTGTGTGTCTGTGTGAGTGAAAGACAGAGAGGGAGAGCGAGCGACAGAATTTCTGTTATAACTTTCATTTTTATGGATGCACAGGTGAGCACTCGGGTCGCATCAGAGCAGCGGGCCGTATAGTGTGAGACCTGCATCGTGACCTATGAACTTCTAACCCCTGCGAGTTAATCGTACAGTTTGAGCAGGAGCTGAAAAATTGCACAGTGTCTGCCCAGCTTAAGCTGTCATCTCTTTTGGACAACATCTCCCGCCCCATGCAGGAAACTCTAACAGCACTGAGCAGCTCCTTCAGTGGCTGCGGCACCCACGATGTGGGACGGAGAGATTTCGCAGGTCTTTCCTCCCCACTGCTGTCAGACTCCACAACAAAGACTTTTGCAGCTGATCAAACACACACAACCCCACACATGTGCAATAAGACTAAGTGCAATACTCTTTTTCTGACAAAGTTGTATTTTTACTCAGTTGTATACAGCATTTGTATTCTGTTTTTATCCTATCGTATATATTATTTTATTCTATACAGTTGTGTACAGTATATTACTCTTATTGTATTCCAGTTTTCTCTAAATTTTGCTATATAACTTTGCACTGTCCACTTTATACTGTGACAAAACGAATTTCCCACGTGTGGGACTATAAAAGATTATCTTATCTTATCTAACTCAGCCCACAGTAATACAAACCCCCCGCAAAAAAGTCACAGTTTATGTTAAATGAAAAATAAAGGCTGACAACATTTTTAAAGAGAACGTAACTCCAAGAAATATATAACTGGAGGGTTTATTCTTTGTTACAGAAAACTTTTTTTTTTTTAGTTTTAAGATAACATTTTTGAAGATATGCAGATTCTCCACCATCCAATTATTCCTAAAGAAAGAACATGAGCATCTTACCTCAGCTTCACTCGAGGAGATCACACAGGACAAGGCAGCTTCAGTTGACACGGCTTGACTGACTTTCAGGTTGTGGTGGTGTACTATTAAACCGTTTTCGTCACGCCTTTCTAAATGTTTCCACAGACTTTTCCTGTTGTTCACAAGTAGAGCTATGAGCTATGACCCAACTCGTTTTGCAGGTTTTCCTGTACTTACCCAAGAATGTTTTCTTGCACGCACCTTATCCAAGTCTTTCAGCATACCAACAATAGTTATAGTGAACAAATGTTAAAACCTTTTAGTCTATTCATAGGTGGTTGCTAGGCAACATCATAAAATTAGTACCTGTAGGGATCATCTCCGATGCAGCCGTGAGTCAAGGTAGTGAGACGATTAAGTGCTAATTAGATGTAGCTACCTGGATCTAGCTGCAGTTGGGTTCATCATTGCGTTGTTTTGATGCGTTTAAAGCGTCGGTCTAAGATTACAGTGAATTTAGCCAGCGGTTAAGCACCGGCTACAGCTAACTGGGGCCTAAGCTAACCAGCTGCTGCTGTAGGGGCCGTTTTTGCCTGGTTTAATACCAGCATCCGTCTCCGATTATAAATACTGGACTCGATCTTGGACTATGACAAATGTAGCAGCGGATGAAAAGACCAAACAGGCCCTTGTCATGATATGAGTGAACAGTAGACTATGTGTACGTTAGCATATGCTACTTCCGGTGCGGAAACTCCTGTGGGGAGCTTTGTTTCCAGTGTCCTATTCGCGGAAATGGACATCTTCAAAGAATTTTCTGATGTGTTTGAGGGCATAGGTTGCCTTGAGGGAGAACACAGCATTCAAATTATTGATGGTGTGGCACCAAAAGTTCATCCACCGAGAAAAATCCCTGTCACAAAAACTCAAAGTAGAACTGGACAGAATGGAAAAAATGGAGGTGATTACAAAAATTGAAGAACCTACCCAGTGGGTGAATCCAATCGTCATTGTGGAAAAGGCTACTGGTCGACTGAGAGTTTGCCTAGATCTACGTGATCTCAATACAGCAGTCATGAGAGAGCATTACCAGTTGCCAACAGTTGAAGAGATAACGAGCCGACTGGCAAAGGCCAAATACTTCACTGTGCCGGACGCAAGCTCAGGATTTTGGCAACTTAAATTGATTGAAGCCAGCTCTCGTCTCTGTACATTCAACACACCTTTTGGTCATTACAGATTCCTTTGCCTGCCTTTTTCGAATTAATTCAGCTCCAGAAGTATTCCACAGGACGGTGAGGCAGCTGTTTGAGGGGATTGATGGCGTCGAGACGTACATAGACGACCTCTTGATCTGGGGAGAGACGACAGATTGAGGCAAGTGCTTGAGAGAGCAAGAGCAAAAAAATTTAAGCTGAACAAGGACAAATGCAAGGGCCTGGAGGAAATTAAATACCTTGGCCACATCTTCTCGGCAGATGGTTTGAAACCAGATCAGAGCAAGATAGAGGCAGTAAAGAAAATACCTACACCAGAGTGCAAAAAAGATGTGGAGCGATTTCTGGGTATGGTGACATACCTAGCAAAGTTCATTCTAAACATATCACAACACACAGAGGCATTACGTGGCCTTACCAGAGATGATGTTGCATAGCAGTGGGAAGGTGAGCATCAGCACGCGTTCAACAAATTGAAAACAATTCTTACTTCTTACTGAAGCTCCTGTGCTCAGATACTATGATGTACAGCTTCCAGTAACACTATCTGTCGATGCTTCTTCTTTTCTTTTTGAAGTCCCTAGAATATGTGTATGGTGGATTTCTATCAGATTTAGAGGCATTTAGGTCCGACAATGACCCTCCAGGGCACCTCAGCATTTTTTGAATAGTCCTTCTTTATTACATATCTGCCTCTAGTGGTTGGATCGGGAACT